ATGTCCAAGATTGTATAGTGTTTCCAAAACTCTTTCAGATCATAACCTTCCTCAATTTTGGTCATTAGCAGCTTGGTTCGGTATGTTCTCTTCATTGTTGCAATGACTCCTTGGTCCATGGGTTGGATTAGCGCAGTGACATTTTGGGGGAGAAACTTTGTAAAAATTTGTCCATCAGAAGACTTTAGCACGCTTGTTGCTGGGTGAGAAGGTGCGTTGTCGATCAATAACACAGCTTTTTCAGGCAGGATTTTTTGATTTAAGACGTTTAGGCACTTGAAGAACAAAGATTGTTTCGAACCATTCTTGAAAAATGTTTCGGTTCATCCATCCTTTTTTTTTTTTTTTTTTTTTTTTTTTTTGGTTAAATTAATCAACGAGCAAATTTTCTATCCTTGTGCCTTTGAAAGATCTCGTTTTTTTGACTTTCCAATGACAACAAATCTAAGTTTATGTCCACCGGTAATGTTACTGCAAGACATGATAGTGATCCTTTCATTGATATGATAGTGCTTTCTTTATGACCTGCCGCTTTACTTTCACTTTTAAATGCTAAAGTGCAAGTAGGAAGACATTTCCACAAAAGTCCCGATTCATCAGCATTGTAAATTTGTTCAAAAGATAGCTCTTCTTTTAAAACAAATTCTTCAAATTCATGGTGGAAATCGTCAGCTGCTTGTTGGTCACCACCAAGTTTCTCCCCATGAAGTCCAATTTCTTGAATTTCATGTCGCTGCTTAAAACGAGTCAACCAGCCAGAAGATGCATTAAAATTTCCTTTCAGGCCTAACAACTCAAAAAGGTTTTTGCCTTCGCCGCAATGATAGGACTATTTACAGGAGTACGCTCTTTTCGAACTTGAGCTAACCACTCTGTCATTGTCATGAGAACACTTCATAGTTTTTCGTGTTTTCATTGCGAAAGCACTGTCCGACATGGATGCAAAGTTCACCAGTTTGTCTTTTTGCTTTAGAATGTCTGTACTGTTGTTTCCGCGATTCCGTAATCCTATTCCATCTGCTGCCTTGTAGCGCCGTTTGCTACTTTGAAAATTAATTCTAGTTTTTGTGCAATCGTCAACACAACCTTCTTTCGTTTTCCTGACATTTTAAATCGGAACCACACAAAACCAAAAAAGCACAAGCACTGAACACGATAAAAGATAAGAAATTAACTCCGACCGATTCGCAAACACTATCAGGCTTAAACTAACAATGGCGAGTGGGAGGAAGTGGAGTGTCAGTAAGATTAAGACGAGAGAGAGGGCGGTGGAACGGGCACTGCAAAGGTGAGTAAGAAATCACTTACTCATCAGAGGGGAAGGTTCCGAGAAGACCTGGGATATTTTTGCTAAAAATAAGCGCGATGTTGGCAAATTTAACGTTTCGCTCAGTTTTGTGAACATTTTTATTTTCTTTGCTTTACACTTGGGGGGGGGGAACCTTTGTGCGGCTGGCACGGATAATCGGGAGTCTACTGTATTAGAAAATTCTTTATATTTTGTATGTTACCATTTAAAAAGACCTGATACTCATTCATTTATTTGCAACACATGCTGATATATTTAATCTCTTTGCAGCATCACTAAGTAATTAATCGTATATTACTTTTTCTGTGATTTCTGTAGTAAAAGATCGTAAAAGTCCAAAACCTTTCTTTATAATAAATATTTATATGCTAAAGCAAATTTTTTAATACACGAATTCCCCTCAAATCTATAAGATTAAAAAATAAGTAATTTGAATAGTTATATATGTATATGAATGTTTAAAAACAGGAACATTGGTAGGTGGCAGGTAAACAATTAAAACAAACTACTAGTCATAAATTTGCTTAATTTAACGAATAAGGTCAGTATTGTTTTGTAATTACATTGCATTTTTTTGCAAGTTGTCCAAGTTTTTTTTAATCATTCTTATATTTATTTATTATAATTCAAACACACATTATGTTTGAAAAAGTAGTTTCAATGAGGATTAATTTATGTATTTTAATGCCAGCATATAAAAAAATTATATCTTATATTAGAAGTTTCTGAATTGCTGAACATTATGGAATACTGTTTTAATAAGAGAATGCTTACTTGATCCCTTGGGAAGACTAAAACCATATGTTAATAGTAAATTTTTTTACTATAAAATGTTATTCATTTACACACATTTTTGATAAAAATAAATTGGAAAACCTTACGATTTTTACAAAGTCCTTTATCCATTTTAATCTGAGGTACAGTACTCTGTTCTGCATTTAATATGCAAAACCTACTTTTGAAGATTAGGTTCATTTTTGTTTACCATGTTTGTCAGAAGCATAGCAGGTATTTTGGCATATTAATTCATCATTTCTGGCTATAATATTTTTTTTTTGATAATTTCCATATGCGTCATTTGCTGCAAGTGACTTTCTGCAAGTAAAGCAGAAAAGCTTGAATATCCTATATCATTATAATCCAGTAATGGTCTTTCAGTATTTAATTTGTCATCTCTATATATGATGTGTAAAGAATTCATATTTTAAAATTATGTTTTTGTTATAAATCTATTACATGTTTAACTTTATTTCTAATTAAAACAAAATTCTATAAAGCTAATTATTTGGGAATTTGTTTGTTTCTGCTATTTTACATAGTGTATTGCTGAGTATATTAAGTAGCTCATCCATTTTACTCTAACTCTACAGATTCAGTTTTCAGACAAATAAGTGCCGAAGAGTTAAAAATTTCTTCTGATAATAAAATGCTTATAATTCTTTTCTTGTTACAAATTTTTTATATATATATATATATATTTGTTTAAATGGGATTTTACTGCTGCTTTTTTAAATTGATGGTTCTTATATAATTTCTTACTCAGGTATGCAAAATTTCTGTGCAACTGGTTTGCATCAGAAAAAATTATTTGTATTCTTTTTCTACGGATATATTTATCATATGATCTAGTCGAGCATATAAGATGTTTTTTAAATGGTTTATATAATTACATATCAATAGGGTATCACATCTGGGTGTCATTTTATAATTAGTTATACTGCAATATTAATTTTCCATATACAGGGTAATCATAAGAAAACTTCTGCAATATATGAACTCCTAGTGACCTATCAGTGCAACCAATTGAAGTGAAATTTCAGATATTCTTATTTGAACGTATGCTTTAAAACAACAGAGCTCTCACAGATACAGTGAAAAAATTTTGAATTTTCGAATGGCAATCATTTTTTCTTTCATTTTCAGTGCTTTTTTCAATACATCAAATTGCAATGATACATGTATGATGAAAACTGCTACGTTTTTATGAAGACTTTATCTATTTTAATCTGAGGTACAGTACTCTGTTCTGCATTTAATATGCAAAACTTACTTTTGAAGATTAGGTTAATTTTTGTTGTTTACCATGTTTGCCAGAAGCATAGCAGGTATTTTTATGTATAACATTTGCAAAGAAAAATATTGAAAATGATCAATGGCAACACAAGAGAGGAGACAGTAAAAAAGCTTTTATTTAATTACAAGTTTTCAACATGGCCGCCTTCAGACAGCTGGGGATTGTTGACAACAGTGACAAATGTAACATTGCAGGAGGAATTCGTATAACCTTACATTTTATGGCACCTTTCATTTCTGACAAATCTCGTGCATTTGATGTGTATGGCTTACATTTCAGGTAATTCCAGAACCAGAAATTCATTGGAGTGAGGTTGGGGGATCGCAGTGGCCACAAAACTGCAAAGTTACTGGAGATAACTATCTTGAAACACTGTACATATTGAAAACATGTAATTCCAATAAAAAGTTTTTCTCCTCTCCTTTCTTGTGGTGTCATTGGTTTTTTAAATGCTCTTCTCTGCTGATGTTTTTACAACAGCAAATTTTGCAATATACGTATTGTTCCAATACCATTTATGGTTTTTCAATGCCCTGATCGATTTGCGCAAGAAAAAAGTAGGTGTTCCCATTTGAAAATTTTGAAATTTTTTCATTGTAACTGTAATTATGAGAGCTCTTTTGTTCAGAAATCTCAAGCACACATCTTTAAATGGCCAAAACCTGATATTTCATTTCGATTGGTTCCACGGATAAGCTGTTACAGGTTTATATATCCGGGAAGCTTTTTATGACCAACCTGTATGTAATTTGCTGCAGTTTGAACATTTAACTTATCATAACTTACATGAAATACTTAATGTTGCTACAAAAACTTTGTTTAAAATCATCATTTTGTAACTCTGAGATCTTTCATTTACGACACAAAAGAAACTTTTTTGTGCAATGAAGCTATACTGGTTTCTTTCTATGGTTTAATTTTCTTTTAAAAACAAAATTCTGAAGAATGTTTCATTGTGAACTCAAAATTTTATCTTGAAAAGTATACTCAGAATATAAGGAGGAAAAGAATGTATTGAAAAAATTGTGTGATATATTTTTAATGTCTTTTTGAATCAATAAAAAATAAATAAAATTTCTGTGTTCTTTATTTAAATGCAATACTGAGCTAACAATCGAAAATTTTACATAAGTGAAATAGTGTTTGAACTAAGAACACACTAAATTTTTAAAATTAGGTAAAGAAAGAATTTTATATTGTAGATTTTAAGAGAAATAAAAAAATCTGGTATTTGAAAGCAATCTTCTTGCAACAATACTGTTGCAGATTGTTGTGAAACAAATTATCAGCCGTATGGTTTATTACTTAATAAACTTGAGCATTTTTCTTTTAAATAATTCATTTAATTATTGTATTCACTTGCACATTTTTAATTATCTGAAATTTTATTGTTAAGATTATTTCTTTTTGATTTCATGTTTTCCTCGAGAAGAAATTTTGAATGCATATTCATTAAAAAACTAGACATTTGAAATGAGATATCTGAAATCAGCATTGCATGCAGCAGAAATTTGAAGATGTGGCAACTCCCATTGAGAAAATACTTGAGTAACTGAGTTTAAATTACAGTATTAGTTCATTATGTAATTGTGGTAAAATATCTGAGAACTATCTGCATAACAAGAAATAGAGATGTTAATTCTGCATCAAGAACTTGTAAAGGTAAATTTAAAACATTCAATATTGTAGATTTCTTCCATTTTACTCATGGTTCCATTAGTGTTCGTAAGGAACATCCTTTCCTAAGAAACTACAGTACCTTTACCCTGTGAAACTTTAGTTAAGATTCCAGCTGTTAAAGAGTTTCAAAATCTGCCTTGATACATTTCAAACATATTGCTCTAATTTCATACATTTATATGCTGAATCACTTTGATTTCATGACTGAAAAAGCAGAATTTTTTACCATCAATACAGCCGAAATATATATAGCATGAGTTTTACCCATAGTTACTTAACAGGAGTGCGGCGCCGAATTTGCTGTCCTTTCCGTTCAGCCGGCAGCGAGCCGTACTTTTGTTTAGAATGTTTCAATACATTTCATTAAAACTAACTTTGATCACATTTCATTGAGACTATTTATTTTTTTAACTTTAATACTGTTGGTTCTCCGGACCGACAGTATTAAAGTTAAAATATTCTCGACACCGGCCACATGAAAAGTTCACTGCTGGTCTCCAGGGACCGGCGCCACGCTCAACGCGTTAATGCAGAGTTTAGTGATACAGGCCTTCGAAAAAGACTTTCTAATGCAGACTGGCTTGTCTTTACAAGTCTAGAGATGAATAAGAGATTCCAGATTTGTTGATATTCTGTTTTTAATAATTCAAATACAAAAACTCAAAATTTTTTAACCTTCTGACTAGTTTTCAATATTCCTTCATTCACTCAAAAAGAACATAAAGATATCACTTTCTTTGTTTCTCAATTTTTAACTCACGTAAAGGCAATTTTAATTCTATCCATTTAACATCATCTTTTTGACGAACATGACATCCCAATGCACCAGCAATAAGGTCGATCCTAAACGGAAAATTAATTTAGTAATCTCTTAAAATGTGTTACAAATAAACATATTATACAGACACACAAAATACAAATCAGTCTTATCAGAAATAGGTAATAATTCAGAGTTTTTGCATATTAATACATGCCAAATAGTTTAAAATACCATAAATGTTTTAGATGTATTATATAGTCAATCATTTAAAAGTAATTATGTAGCTTCATAAAATGCATTCTAATAAGTTTCTCTACCTGCTTTATGATTTTTGGCAAATTCTAATATACTGTAATTTGGGTTGTATGCTTAGTTGCTAAAACAAAACATATTCATAAGTTATTTATTATATTAAATTAATATCTATATACAACTTCATATTAAAACCTGAAATGTTAATAATAATTATTTTATACTAATGCTGCTAAACTGATGAAAAATTTATCTTGCATAATGAAACTCATATTTTCGGATTAAACAGTTATTGGATTATAGGTATTTAATACTTTGAGCGTTATCACTTTGATGCATGTGATATCCAATCTATATCAATGAAAATTCACTCTTAGGTTTGTACTCTCACTTTCCATGCTGAGTTACACAGTACACCTACAATATTTTTAGAAGTGATTTTTTTTTTTTCAATCAGATACGGCAAAGCTGCAAAACGATAATTTGTGGCCATGGTTACTAACACATTTGTGGCAACAGTTTTGTCAATACAATAAGGTCTTATTGTATGGTTATACATAATAAATTTTTTTATACAGTAAGGCGAAATTTTGGATGTATATTTTTTATATTGTTATGCAACTAATAAACTAAACATTAGCAAAAAAAAAAAAAAAAAAAAAAAAAAAAAATGTTACGCCCCTTTCTCTTTAGCAACATACCTGTTTTTTGTAATTTTGGTACATATTGCCAATTCAGTGTATATTATATGCTTTTAGTGCACAACATGCCTATAGCTTTTAATTGTAAACTGAAAAAGCTGAAAAATACAGATAAAAGAAAATACTGGAGAAAGATAATTACTAAGTTAAATTTTTCACACGTTCACTAATTCTGGGCAGTTCCTCTAACATATAATTTTCCCAAAACAGGCATTTTCATTATAGGTGACTTTCATAAAGAAGCTTTACAAATTTGTAATCACTGCGAATTCCCAAGCTATTTCTTTTTAAATTATTAGGTCGCACTGAGGCCACACAAATACCTTGAAGTTTTGCTCAACTGCTGCTTACATAATCACATATATTCCAAATTCATGAACACATGCTTTATAAACTAACCTTTTCATAGCTATTTTACAGCTTGAAGCAAGAAGATTACCATTTAGATTATAATGATGAAGAGTTAATGCTAAAACCATAGCATATGCCAATAATTTATCTTTCATGCTTGGTGGAAAAGACCTGGAAAAACACAGAATTATTAACACAAATTAATGTTAAAAATTATTATAATGTTCAAACATTAAAAGGGACTTAAAATTACACGAGCAAAATAATAACATGTGGCATATTCCAAAGCTAAAGCCATTATGAATATTTCATATATAAATGGAATTACGGGCATGAAAATTTAATATAGATTTTCAAACTAAAATGACCAAGTACAGTCAAAAGTCGTTAATTCAGACACCCATAATCCGGACCTCAAAGCTACAAAAGCGTCGCGTTGACGCTTGCGCATAGGCGTTTACGTGTACGCGCAAGACCTTTACGGCTGCGAATATGCGTGTGCGCATAACACGTTTACGCATGCGTGTTTAAATGTATAACGGACGGTATAAGCTAAGCTAAAATTATCTAATTCAGTTAATGTTGCAGATTGCATTGTTCCTTAATCTTCGAATTGGATCCGGCTTATTATTTTTTGCAGACTGTTAGAGCAATTTTATAAAAGTAAACTTGAACTTTTGTTTATATCAATTTCCGATATATATTTGCTAATATGTAAAGGATCTAAAGTGAAAGTATGTTCCGAAATCTGTTTATCAATTTCACGCTTCTCGGCGGGGGGAACGCCGCGGCGCGCAATGAATTGGAAGTTGATCTGTCAGCACTATCTTTATCTTCAGGGCAGATGTTTTTTATTTTATTTGGTTTGGCTTATAATTCCTTACTAAATGTAGTATTTCATCTCGATGTACTCCGTCTTTGATATGATTTAAAACAAGTTCCTCGTCATTATAATTCGCTTCCGATAGTGAAGAAAGTGACAGAGGTTATTGAAAACGAAAAAATTTTGATTGACAAATTAGTCGGTATTCTTGACACAGCATTTATAGGACTTGAACAGCGGAACTTTGTAACTAAACAAGAAATTATGTCTGTTTAATAGAATTAAAGAGAAAGTATTATCACACGAAACGAAGCAACTTACATTGAAAGAAATGTTTAATAAAGTAAACAAATAAATATTAAGCTTTTTCTTTTTGTAAATTTTGATACCCTTTAGATCATAATTGTTCTTTATTTCATAAATTACAGTTTCATATTTTTAATTTTGTAATTTCTGCATGCCATCTTACCAGATTTAAATTGATGATCTATAATCCGGAATCGCCAAAGTCCCGAAGAGTCCGGATTAACGACTTTTGACTGTATCTGACACAATACAATTTTACATCAACTGAATTGAAATTTCTCAAACCAGAAAGCTGCAAATGAAAAGTGCAATACACTTCATGCTATACTGTCCTATGGCAAATAGTAATATGCATACTTATGACAAAGGCATAAAAAATATATCAAGATATACCTATATAATAATCATTTGACAGCAGATAAATTTCAAAAGCTATAATTCACTCCCCCCCCCAAGTTTACAGATTTATAATTCTTTAACTCTTTGAGGTACAGTATATAAAATAGTTTGAACTGTGGTAAAATTTCGAATGAATTGTAATTTAGACCCTTAGGACAAAAAATTGAAACTTAAAAAATTCTGGAGTGAAATCCTGAATTTTGAGAGCCAGTATATACTTTATACCAGTGCCCCTCTACATTTTTTCCCTCAGGGTAGCTGCCAATTGTTAATTTTTGTTTTTTTCCCACCTATTTTTGCGAACTTTTGATGTACATCTATAGAGATGGGTACTTGAGCATAGTTATGCAAGTCTGAAGGCAAAAACTTAAAAAATTTTGCTAGAAATTTAAAATAAAATAAAAAAAAAAGTTTTTCACACTTATTTTACATAAGTATAGTTATGTAAAATAGATGCCCATATTTTACATAACTATACTTATGTAAAATATGGGTAAAAAGCTTTTGAAAGTGATTTAAATTCACTATTATTATTTTATGAAAAAATTTTGCAAATATACATGCATAGCTGCATGCATAAACCGTATATACTGTAACTGAACTAGCATAATGTTACATGGAGATGTTACTCAGGCAAAAAATAAGAAATTGAAAAATGATATTATGACTCAGCTGAAAAATTATGTTGCATTTTTGAAGTTATTATATTTTCTGCTTTATACATAAAAAGAGCATGCTTCATGCTATGATAGCAAGAATTGCCCCGCCCCAACACTTTCGATTATCAGGCTGGTAAAGGGCCCTTTTTAATTGTAAATAGAGGTTGTAATATATCATTTTGTTCAAGAAGAAAAGCTGTTAAACAATTTTATTTGATAAACCTCAAAGCTCTTATCTCTATCAAAACTTAAAAAGCTCAAATATTTGTCCCCCCCCTTTTTTTTCCTTCCAAAGATAAATGTTTTGCACCTAAAGCTGGCCTTTGAACTATTTTCCTTCCTTTCACCAGGTGTGAAGACTAAACAACGTACTTGTATCCTAATCCCAGGAGTAATTAGTAATCTAAATCTAATTTTCTTGTATTCCTTAGTCTCTCATCTGAAATTAACAAAGACTGCTTAAAGGATAAAAGCATGCTTTCAAATCGGCAGTTTTTTCCATTGCACTAAAAAATGGACCTAAAGTACACTTCCCGTACTTTTAAGTGAGCTTTCCCATTGTGTGATGTTATCACAGTTCCTTTGTGAAGATGGCATGAAAAATTAGTTGTCCATCACCTCTTTTCATTTTTGCTGCATTCTAGGATTTTGGAAAACACGAAACAACTGGTGTCTTTCGCGGCTAACATGCCATACTTAACCCCTACAGTTGTGTAACGTTTTGACACAGACCACAATTTTGAAATCTAAGAGTCTTTCTCGTGGGAAAGGGTGAAGTGCTGAAATTAAAATTTTAGCTAAACAGAGACGAATGAGAAACTCGAGTGGAGTAAACAAAGAACAAAAAGAAACTGATATACATGTGTTCAGTCTTAGTACAGGGTCAGTAAACTTCCCATACCCCCATGAACATAATATTGAATCCTAAACAACCTGTAAATTAACCATAAAAAATTATTACATCGTAAACTATTACAATATAAAGAAATTTTGTCATCTCACAGAGTAGAAAAGGAGAAAACTGGTGCCGCCATCTATTGGTGTGGTAATCTCAGTATGGGCGCTAAATACTGGTATTAAAACATAATCTTCTTTTAATTATCAGTTTTGATTGAAAGGCAGTAAATATAAAAGGTTCAGCATGTGTGCATCATATATTTGAAGATTGTGAATTTTTTTCCTACCCTTCAATGCAATTTATGAATATTCAAACACAATACCTTTTAAAGTGGTATATTAATTTCATAACTGCAAAATATTGAACATTCATAGGGTAGTGCTGCCATTTAGAATCAAAAGGAAACTGAAACTTACAATTACAGCTTTTGGTGTAGAAAAATTAGCATTTTTAGAAGTTAAAAAAGTGACAAACATCCAGTGCCCTTCAAAAGCAGAATTAAACATCTAACTATACCAGGTTTAAAAAAAAAAAAATGTTATCTAAGAAATAACTATATAATATATCAAGAACATTGATTATAGTAGATTACAACAAAAGTGCACAAACCTATTCTTTAAAAAGAATTTATCTTTTAACTTCTGTTTGAATGGCTCTGGAACATGAGGTACTGGATCTAAATTTAAAGTGTTTGTTACACATTACAAAATAACATTTATATATTAAATCTGAAGCAAAGCTGCAAGTTGAATATAAAATGCAAAACAAACTATGAGAATTATTTAAAATACCTTTTTTCCTCATATCCAAGTAAGTAAGTTTCAGGAAACACATCATGTACTGTAAGTAACACAAAAGTTTAGCATTATGTAATGTCAGACTTCCACACGAAGATTCTAGGTATTTAATAACAACATCACAGTACCTAAAATATGAAAATTTTATAGTATTAACCAATTAAAAAAACGATCTGCAAAAATGCTTCATAAATACTGAAACATAATTTTAGTTGATAATTCTTCATCAAACAGAGCCCTTTGCTTCATTAAGGCAAACATTTGAGCTGCTTAGGCCTCAAATAAGGGACCAATTTTTAAGCACGAGACCAAAAAAAATTTTACTTGAGTGTGTGTGTGGGGGGGGGAACCTCACCATATCACATTTCAAGCTAAGGTTTGAAACTATTCTCAGAAAAGTTGAACAAACTTAAACCTTTTTAATAACTGAAAATGAACTTTAAAGATATGCTGATTTCCATTGTTTAAGATAATGCCTTGTTTAGGGAAAGCTCTTAAAAAAGTTACATAACCAGAGGAGATAAGTTCACAATTTATTTATGATGAAGTACATTGAAGTTTGTGTGAAAGAGGCTCTACAAAGGGTATTTTAACCTTTACTGATATAGCAAAACTTTAAAGGTTCGATCTTAGAGATCCATAAACACACATGCCTTATGAATGCGTCTCAACTATATAATCATTTATTAATAAAAATGATAAATATTTAATATCAAATATACGTATAATTTTTACCAAAAATAAAGGCAATATGAGCATATTTTTCAGGAACACAGAAAAATAAATAAAAACATAATGCCTGGGTCCCTATAACAAACAGTACATTTAGCTGGAAAATGAAACTGACTCAAGTATGCATTACACATCAGAAGGAAAAAAAGGCATCCATGAAAAGGCCATTCAGCTATAAGGAACTGAATCCAAAATGAAACTATTAGCAGGCAGCTATCTTACTATTTGGTCAATGGAGCACAGTCAAGGCAAAGCAATTATATTGTTAGACCTAAAAAATTACTGAAGAAATATTGATTAAATGAAATATGTAAACTTGAAATATTTATTAGTATACTCTAGAAAATCAAGTATTCCAGCAATTCAGAAATCCAAATGCATAGCAGCTGTTATAATAGTGTAACATTAGTTTTATGCATAGTTCTTTCTGAAATGAAACCTCCCACAAATAAGAGTATCTTCGAAATATTTATTGCTTATAACAAGTATTTCTCCCGGATTATTTTCCAACCTTGCATATTTCAACTCAGAACTCAAGATGTTGATTAAAAATATTTCATATTTCAGACTTTTGGTAGAAATCAAATATTCATAAAATGAAAGTTCAAAGTTAATTTTAGAAATTGGAGGAAAAAACAATTACTCTGAAATCAGTTCAGGTTCTAAAAGCATTACAACAGTTACAGGGAAAAAAAAAAAACTGAAATTTTATTTTGTAAATCAATTTTATTTGCTTTCTGCTTCTGCATACTGAGTAAGCACAAAATATTCTCAGTTCTTATTTTACAGCAAAATGATTAAGGTGTTTGAGTACATTTAACTATTCAAATAAAAAACAGCCCGGATATCACTCATAAGGAGTATGCACCATGTGCAAAGAACACTACAAAACATACACATTCTAAACTGAAGCAGCTGAGAAAAATCTTAGTGCCACAGTGCTGTGATGAAATCTGCCAAAAGATGATGTTTAACGTGTAAATTTACAAATACGCAATACGACTCAGACTTGACAGATATGAGATATTTTAATGCATATTCTTCAGAAGAAATTAAAATTAACTAGATAAATGCTAGAAAGCATATCAAAGAACTAAAATTTTGAGAATTAATGATCAAGCAAACAAAGAAATGACATCAATGCAAAAAAAAAATCTGAATTATTTTTTTCTATAGTTATAGAATTGTGAGAATTGACCGAGGTAGTTCAAATAACGATTTAACTGGAGAATTTGAAAAAGCCAAAGGCTCTAGAATTATATTAAGGAATGCTCATTAACATTACGGAATCAACATTAATACTCTGAGAATGCTATCAAAAGTTAATAAAAATGTTTAGTGCAAATGTGCACGTAGTTAACCATTTTAGAAGATTTGGAAGCTATGAAGGCTAAAAAAATACAAACGGAAAGTTGCAAAATTTCTGATGATTCTAAAGACTTTTTAAATCATGTTACATGGACAAGCAAGGAGCTACATATTAAAAACATAAATAACATTAGTATATAGAAAATGGATGTAGACTGAACCTACTTCAAAGTTTCCATAGAACACAATCGTCAAAATAGCAATGATATGGGTGCAGGATACCCAAGAAAATAAAAGAACAGCAAATGAAAAAACAAGGATTGAAATAACAATAAATGGTCTCACATGCACTGTAAAAATATACAAATAATATAAATAATTTTGAGCTATCTTACACACTAGCTTGCTTCCAAACAGCTATCTTCTCATAAGAGGCTCCAAGAAGAAATTCAGCATGAGATTCCAAAGCATCATACTCTTCTGCTGTAATAACTATTTAATCTCTGTTAAGATTTTCCTTCTTTCAAAATGAAAATTAGGATTAAACAAACAAATTATAAACACATAAATTTTGAAAGAGATAAAAGCTGAGCAAATGTATTTAGAAAATGTCTCCTAAAACTAAATTTGCCAATATTTAATGGGTTAATTGGTGTTGAGTTCTAGTGCATAACCCTGCAGTTCTGATGCGTCAAGCGTAGGGTTATATATACAAACGTGGAAGTACGGAAACAATCAACAGAATCCCACAAAAGTACTTCTATGCAAAATTACAGTGTAACTGCATGACATAATTCAGTATAAGAAAAAATGAATTTAACAAACATTTTCTATTCATAAAAAGCAAATTTAAATTAAATTTAATGCAAACAAATAAAAATTAAATTTAACTTTATTCTTAAGAAAAAATGAAGGTATGAAATAAAAGGACAACAATGGTTGAAATAAGAAGGCTATGCTTAAAACTATTCTCTGCGTGGAAAAGACTTGTCTAAAGTTGGTTTATGTTAAGATGCAGTTAAAATTTAAATGCTATAATACATTTTGATTGCTTTTAAAAACCTAAAGATATTAAAATGGGGTTGTTCCCCAATTAGATCCATCAATGTCAGATTTCTTTTATGAAAAAACTAACCTATGAGGATTAAAAAAAAGGACAATTAATTAAAATATGTTCAATGGATAAAAGAGAATTGCATGAACTGCGTATAGGTTCATTTCCTCTATTCAGTAAATACTGATGAGTTATTTTTGAATGACCGATACGAAAGTGAGTCAATAGTACTTCCTCCTTACGATTTCTATTCAATTCCCAACACTGCACTCGAGCTTATACAAGTCTCAATTTATTGTTCACTTGAGTCTCCCATAACTTCTGCCATTTATCTAACATTCTGCTTTTGATGACCTTCTGAATATCTTTAAAGGACACTTTCAACAGGCATCTTAGCTGCAATATCTACTAATTCATTTCCCTTGATTCCAAGTGCCCAGGTACAAACCAGCAAATGATGCTGTAACCCTGATCCTTCAAACTTTGATCTAGCCTAGCTACTTCCCAAACTAAAGGGCTGTCATTATTATAGAAGGTTTTCATCGACATCAAGGCACTTTTGCAATCTGGATAGATGATGTATTTCTTTCAATCTGGATCGATGATGTCTAGAAATATATATCAGAGCATTATAGATAAAAATATTTCTGAAGAAAAAAACAGAATAGGCTTCAGGCAGCCTAAAGCTCTTCGTAGTATCACAGCACACAAATGCCAATCCAACTTGATTGTTGGACTTTGAGTCATCCATATATATTGAGGTATAGCCTGTTGTACCTGCATTTGAACTCTTCAAAGATTTGTTGGAAAACAACGTCACAAGTATTGCTCTTATCAAAATTGCCGAAAATGTTGAGAGTAGTAATTTTTAGATATGTGAAAGGTGGGGTATCATATAAACTTACGTCTTTAACTTGTACATAAGTCAACTCATAATTTTCCAAAAGTGACTGTATCTTCAGAGTGAAAGGAAGGATGCAAGAAGTTTCTACTTGGTACAAAAGATTGCACATCAAATAGAAGTGATCAAACAGGATGAAGTGGTTGAGAATTTACTCTGAAGTAGTACTTCAGAGATAACTAGAGGGAGAAAATACCTTATACAGTCAAAAGTCTTTAATCCGGACCTCAAAGCTACAAACTTTCTGCGCATGCGTAAATGCTTAATGCATTTACACATGCACATAATACGTTTACGCATGGGCGTTTAATGTATAAAGGATGGTATAAGCTAAGCTAAAATTATCTAATTATCTATTTCAGTTAATGTTGCAGAATGCATTGTTCCTTAATCTTCTAATTGGATCCGGCTTATTATTTTTTGCAGACCGTTAGATCAATTTTATAAAAGTAAGCTTGAACTTTCGATTATGTCAAAAAGAATTTCCGATTCTGAAGCTGCCAAAGGATCTACAAAGCGAAAGCATGTTTCGATGTCCATCAAACAAAAAGTGAAATTCTGGAAAAAATGGATAAAAGCATATCCTTTGTTTCTCTAACCATTCCGAAATCTGTTTATAAATAAATTTCACACTGCTCTGCCGGGGGGGGGGATGAACTGGAAGTTGATCTATCAGCACTATCTTTATCTTCAGGGCAGATGTTTTTATTTTATTCGGCTTATAATACCTTACTAAATGTAGCATTTCATCTCGATGTACTCCGTCTTTGATATGATTTAAATCAATCCCTCGTCGTTATAAATATCATGAATACACATCAAATAGTTTTCTGGTTGCAATTTTCTAATTTCGACTATGCATAATGTATGCTTTACGCATGCACACGTTGAAAGAAATGTTTAATAAAGTAAACAAATAAATATTAAGCTTTTTTTTGTAAATTTTGATACCCTTTAGATCATAATTGCTCTTTATTTCATAAATTAAAGTTTCATATTTTTTATTTTATAATTTCTGCATGCCATCTTATCAGATTTAAACTGATGATCTACAATTCAGAAAAACTGATAATCCGGAATCGCTGAGGTCCCGACGAGTCCGGATTAAAGACTTTTGATTGTATATCTTCCCTTTGAAAGAACGACTGGGAATAAGGTAACCCATTTGCCAAACCCGCATGATGACGAATTATTATCTCTGCCTTTTACTTTGGAAAGTAAATAATGAAGAATCTGCATATATGTATATATCTTCCTCGCATTATGGAAAAAAAGTGCCACCTACATCAATCATATTTTGAATAACTCCCCCCCGAACATGTACACATGATGAATGCCCGAATTTTATATTTCATCTTCTGTGAAAATTTACTTAATTTTTTATTAACAAACTCAAGAACTTTAAAGCGAGCAGTGCCAATATTTTACGGAATAAAACATTTTTATTCTAGCACACGAGTCACGTCTTAGACTTAAAGATGGCTCATTGCATTTGACATAAAGACTCTGCACTGAAGACATTCTGAAAGAACTGGAGCAAATTTGCAGAGCTTGGTGGGGGATATGGTCAATTTCAGCAATACCGAGGGCCGTACAGATCCATAGGTAATTTGATCCATGTTCAATTTTTGATCGAATAAGACATCTATAAATTTGCAGCATGGAATGAGGTACCGCTAAGAGGTAATGTTAACCAAGAGGTATTCGTTAAGACCTTCAGAATATTTAATTTCTTAAGGCACTTATTCTTCAAGTTTCATATATGAGACAAGAAATTGAGCTTCCTGTCAAATATTAGTCCTAGGAACTTAACCTCAGGCACCATCTAGGAGTTCTGGTTCTGGGTGTAAATTTCTCTTATGGCAAAAATGCATATATACTGTCTTCAGATGTTGCTCAAGATATTGATTAAAAATATTTGATTGTAAAAGAACTCAAGATTTACCATATCTTCCGATAACACTGCATGGGAAGTGAACCGATCGCAATCTAACAGAAGGCGTGCAGGTCTAAAAATGGGGTTAGTATTAGGCCCTCTTAAAGACAGAAAAACTGGAAAATAATCACTTCCGACATTAAGAAAAAAGAAAGGCAGAAGAGAAGGTGAACAAATGGTAAGATAAAACATGGAACGTCCTTGAAGATTGGTGGAAATATGTTTTCTCCCCATTATTTAGAAGGCAGAGACAGTGATTATCAATAATACGCTCTGTCTTCCACGTGAATTAATATCGGCGCTTCCCCAAAGAGGATTGTGACTATTTAAAGTCATCAAGAACAATGAAGGGTATAGGTAGTTGCTCTATGAGGTCATTTAAGTCCTGCTGATCAATGGGACTATTTGGAGGTAGATATAATGAACAGACCGAGATTAATGTTGTTATATTTATTTGAATTGCTATTGCCTGCAGATGTGTGGCTAAAGGCAGTACAGAAGCTGGATAATTATTTGAATTCAAGAGGGCAACACCTCCACATGCACGCTTGTTAGGCACATTATCTTCCTTGGCGACACTATACCTCCGAAGTTTAGTTGAAGCATTTAACCTGAGAAGAGTTTCCTGCGGTGTGATACACACAGGATTATGAGTATCAATCAGGTTTTTGATGTGTGCAAGACTTTGTTGATAACCTTGACAGTTCCAAGAAATGAGGGTGGCCATCACAGAGACTTATTTTTACAATGCTGATTCTTAGTTAAGCGTGGAAGCAGATGTTTCGGAAGGTTGAGGCCTTCATCTGTTTCCATCTCTGAATCTATCATATAAGCACAGATGCTGCTAACGGAGCTGTTGTTCGGGCTTCTGGATTTTGATTGGTTCTGTATTACTTTTTTTTTCTTTGTAGTTTTCTTTGTAGTTTTTTTTCTTTGTAGTTGCTCAGGCGGATCTGATTTTTCTATTACTTTGCTTTTGTCTGCTTGGCTACTCTTTGATTTTTCTAAAGTTCTTTCAGGTTGAAGAGTAGGTAATGTTTGAGTTCCAATTGATCAAAAAGATTTACAGGTATTGGCATAAGAAACGTTGGGTCGAGGCTGAGAGCTATCAATTATCTTCTTTGTTTCTGCATAGGGTATATTTCTGGTGACCTTTATATTCTGCATTTCTTTCTCTTGTTTCCATTTTTTACAAGATCTAGAATATGCTGGGTGCTCTCCCTGACAGTTGATGCAAAGCAGTGTTTTTATGCAGCCTTCAGTGTCATGGCCCATCTCTGAGCATCTGGCACAGGTAAGATTGCCACAACAGGAGAATTTAGAATGTCCATATCGTTGACATTGGAAACAATGCATTGGATTGGGTATGTATGGTCGGACTGGGCAATTTAGATATCCTGCTTTGATAGTTTGTGAAGAACCGGAGTTTTAAATATTAATATAATATGTCTCGTTTACAAGTTGTTCACCTCAGCGTATCTCAATTCTTTGCACTCCGCACATATCTTGGTTTTTCAGTTCAGCAATCATTTCATTCTCTGAAACAGCTATTAGGTCTGATTTTGAAATGATGTCATGGGAGAAATTTAATGTCTTATGAGGAGAGACTTTTATTTGTGTGTTTCCTAGTCTTGTTAGCTTTCAAAGTGCAGCTGTCTGTTTGGGGAATGTGTTTTATATAAGTAGATCACCAGATCTAAGCTTCTTGATGTTTTTTGGTTCATTTATTCTTGAAGTTATGTATTTGTTTATCAAAAAAGGTGACATTTTCTGAAGTTTGTTATTTAGGTTATTTATAACAAAGCATCTGTAGTTTTCAGTAGATATTTCGGAATAAATAGTGGTTTCCTTCTGCATTTTATCAATTGATTCAACAGTTCTTTTGACAGCGAGAACATGTACACTTTCGTATTGACCTGCTGATTTATTATTTAACATAATCTGCCCAAGGTTGGTTTGAGAAGAACAATTATTTGAACTCATAATTTAAAAAGAATATTTTTTCGGATATGACTTTACCACCCACCATCGAGTCCAACAAGGGGATGCAGATACCTGCACAAGTGCTAGTCATGTCTATACGCTCACAGAGCATCCCTGGAACTGACCTCCACCCTTAACGAGATGTTCAGCAGATGCTCCAATTGCTTAACCCCAAGCCCAAAACAAACTTGACAAGCCGATTGATACATACGGGACCAGTATGTACCACTCATCTAAACTGAAGCAGAGGCCAAAGCAGTGTGTTGGGGACAGTACCTCGTCCCTCACTACCAGGTCCCTCCTTTTCAGCCTTACGGGTCTCCACGCACGGCAAAGACGCAGGCAGTTTACTCTCATTGAGGAGCTGAAAGAAAGGGATGTAGCAGTCTTACCTGGAGCCCCAACCTTCAAGCATGAAACAGCAAAGCAAGAAAGAAAGGAAAAGCAGAAGCCGAGAAAAGGAAAGTGAGACAGATCACTGGGGCTAATGGGATTGTGACACCCATCTCACCAGGAAGGTGATCCCCCGAAGGGCTAGGGTACCTTGGGATTGCCACACCCATATTCACAAGAGTGAGCCCCTGAGGGGCAGGCAATATTTAATGGGAACTTGCAAGAGTGGATAACTTTTCATAAACTTTTTAAAGCATGGGTGCATAATCCCAGTTTGTCAAATGACCAAAAGTACAGTATTTAATATCGTCATTAGCATGCTGACTGCCCAACATGAGATAACTCGCATTAGCGCTCTTCCTCAGGATGCCCAACACGAGTTATCACGTAGTTTCTCGACTTGCCACTTTTGAGCCGCTACAAGTTACTTACTAGCCTCGTGCTCATTTTAACTGTAACGAGGCGACAAGTCAAAGCATGTCTGTACAATCAACTTGTAATGGGCTTCTGCGAAGAGCTGTTATGAATCATAATTAGTATTTTTAATAATATAATATGATTAAATTGATTTGGCTTCTCAGACCGGAATCCGAAAAATGCTGTGGCAGTCAATGTGTTAAAAGGTGATGTGTAAATTTTTATGCAATCAGTAGCAATAACAGACAGCAATTATGCCATAGCATGGGAATTATTGAAGGATCTTCAATAAGAATGAGTTAATATCTGCAGATATTAGAAGACTAACTTTCAATTCTAAACGAATCGGTTTCAGCAATTTTGAGTAGCTGATGAGTGAATGAACTTGTTCATGGTTTGGAAAGGTTACAACAAAATACAAAATTTTGGTGATACATTATTTGTTCATTTAGTTTTGTAGAAACTAGTTTTATCAACTAAATTCTGGTGGGAAAGACAGTTGAAGAAAAAGGAAATTCCAAGTGTAAGTGAATTGATTGAATTTTAAAACATTATGCAAGAAAATCACAAATTAGTAAAGTGTCAGCAGGTAAGGGTCATAAAAGCAATAACAAAATAAACCGTTTATTGCATACACTAATGCACCTACTGTAGAGAAGGTGATCATTTACCTAAGTGCACAAAATTCTTTCAGATAATGAGCTGAAGAGAATAGAAGATGTAAAATGTAATAATTTGAGTTTCAATTGTCTTGAACATGCATAAGGTTAAAATTCTAAAAGTTTACATAAATGTAAGCATTGTGGAAAACCTCATAACAGTACACTGCATACAGAAAAGTTAAATCAGAATATAAATCTTTTCTTTCTCCACAAACCACCCCATTTATTTCTAAAACTTATCAGCAGACACACCCAACTACAAGTTCAAAAGAACAATCAAAATCTACAGTAGTTTGTATGAACACTACAAATACTAAGTATAGTCAGATCTGTTCTGCAATGATTAAGGTTCATAATGCAAAGCAAGCTTTAGTAAAATGCAGATGTTTGTTGGATTTTGGAAGTCAGAGTTCATTTATATCTAGAGAGTGCGCAGAAAAATTCGGTTTGAAATGTGAAATTCAGTATAATTTTAGTTTAGTGTTTAGGCACTAAGTAATGGAGAAGTTGATTTATTGTTTACTTCTCATTTCAACAGCAAATTAAGAATTTTCACAACTGCTTTTGTAATAGAAAATAATAGTGACAACCTCCCTTTTGTGTCTTTACCTGCGAGTGATTATTAGTGATAATTTTAATGACCTGGTTTTAGCAGATCTGTCATTTTATAAATCACATTTTATTAGGTGTAAATACTTTTTAATGTTACTTTATGCAAATGTTATAATGCATGGTAGAAAATTACCTTTTTGAGCAAGTTTAAAACTAGGATGGATTAAGGTCATTCCAAAATTTAGAGGTTATTTAAGATTCACAGCCTCCTACAACCGAAGAAGAATTATGTAAGGTTCATTTTGAAAAATCCCATACTTAAGATAAACATGGAAGATATTCAGCTGAACTTCCTTTCAAACCTAATATGAAAGTTTGGGTTGACTATCAGGAAATGCTTTTTCACAGATTTCTTTATTTAAAGAAAACATTTTCTTCAATGCGAGAAATTTATAATCAGTACAGAAATTTCATGCAAGAATATTATTGCTAGGTTAGAATGAATTAATTTTGCTAGTGTGAAACCAGTAGCTGAGTGCAAAACCTGCAGTGAAGCAGTCAATGAAAGAGCAAGAAATACCCCAATTTTGCATATCAAACAGTGGTGAGTGGTATGATGACAATGAGAACTGTTAAGCTCCATGTAGCCTGAAGTCTACTAGCTACAGTAAAATATTACAGTTTATGTGAACGTGGTGCTCATATTCATTGTGCAAATTAGCAAAACCTACAATACCTCAACAGAGATTATATCAAAAGGGGTAGATTGGATTATCTATGACAAAACATCCCAGAGATATTTCCTAAAAGAGGGATAATTTAGTGATGGAACTTTCTAAGAAAAATGGAGCCATATTTATGTTATACATGTTCAAACCCCCTAAGCAGCCATCTAGTTTGGCTGTAGAAAACAGAGCCAATTACAAGCATTCTGCATACTTATTCACTTAGCCAATGATGGGCTACACATCAAAAGGATACTGTCATTAATATTATAAACTTCAGACACAGATGCTGCATTTTTATTTTGAGGTGGTATAATATTACTTTCTGATCCTAAATCAGCACCTGAAAAATTCCATTTTATATTTAGGCAAGGAACATTTTATTAAATTGATGTGTAGAAACAATCAGTATATTTAAAACTGACCTTATACAGGTGGCATTCAGACCAGTTTTTTTATACAAACACTGTTATGCTATTATATTGTAGGGTGTCATTAATTAACAAATTTAAAAAGAAAAAACCCTCAGTTATTAAATTCAGATATTCTTCCATTCTTTAAATGAAGTAAACGTATTAAAATCGAAGATTATTATAATTTATAATACTCTTAAAGAGACTAATCACTGAATACAGAAAACTATTTTAAACAAACCATGTTAGTACAATGCGAGAAAATGCCATTTCCATGCCCATCATTTATACTAGTCTCAAGTATAAATAACTAGTGCAGTTACTTAAAATACATACCAACATAAAATTTAACTATTAAGAAAATGTGTTATTTCCATGCCCATCATTTTTATTACTAGTGCTTTAATTATTTATACTAGTCTCAAATATAAATGATTAGTGCAGTTATTACATACATGCTATATTATCTAAGTAAATATGTTGCAAAAACACTATCTTCTCAAAAATTTAAAATAGATCAAGTAGGTAAATTTGTTTGTTACAAATGCATTTCATAAAGTTGAGATCACGTAACTTGGACATAATCCTCTGCCTAAACTAACTTTAGTTTATTAAATGATACACAGGAAGAACAGAGAAATGAAGTAATGTTTAAGTTAATCATATAGTGTATGTGATACTAGATGGTGGTCCAACATCCATAAGTGATAGCACAAGAAACTGTACATTTCACGGAAAATCTTGATAAATCATTAACAGATGCCACATAAAAGTGAACATTTATTTATTTGTATTTCTAAAACCATTAAAAACATTTAATGTAAAATTCAGTTGTGTTGATATAAATATAGAAAAAATGAGACAGAAATTAGAAAACAATTTTCAACATATCTTATGGCTGTTTAGCACATATACTTAATTTACTGGCTACAGATTTTTAATGCATCAAATGTTAACAAGCTCGATATTCAAATCAAAGTACTTTTTAAAACCACAAGCTTGCCCTAGAGAAAATTAATGAATACAATTAATAGAACTGATTAAAATATATCATGTCTAGTACACTGTAATTCAGTATGCGATACTTGAAACTTGTATAAAGAACTTGCCAATTATAATGCAAATTGTGGAAGAAATTTGGAATGTAATAGATTAGAATATTCAATCAAAATTTCTTAATAGGCAGTCATACAAAATGTAAAATATATCTTGCTCCCTTTGAAGACATTTTGGATAAAATCCAGAAGGATAAATGCAGGATTTTAAAACATGGTATGAATAAGCACTGTCATCAGCACATTTTTTAGCATATCATCAAAGCATAAAACCGAAATAACAGGCATTGGAGCTTCGGTCAATGCTACATTGGAATTTATAAGTTATAACCTTTCTGAGAAACCCTTTATAAAAATGAGTTGAGTCAGTGACCACATTTGAGTGAAAGAAAATCAGCAGCTTGTATGAAAGGAACAACTCTTGTGATTGGATATGATTGAAATGCTAAGCACAGAGCTTCATCAACAGGGATTGAAAAAATGTTTTCACTTTTGGAACAAACAGTACAAAACAAATTGAAAAATTAATTAGGGGTTGAAAAGAGAGCAAAACTTACTAAAAAAAAAGAATGCAAATGGCAGTGATATGGATAGAATATAATGATTTGTTATGGAAAAGTTGTGTAGTTTGCAGATACAGTCAAATACCGAAAATCCGCAGACCTGAAATCCACATTGCCTCTCAGAACATAAGCATTCAGGTTATAGGTTCCGGAAACTGCAACATCGAATACGAAATATCGAAGAAAGAAATATTTACCTAATAAATGACGTCATAATTACCGAATAATAATGAGTCAAAATGGAAATACCAAATTATTGACATAAAAAAGTTAAAAAATAAGATAAAATAAATAAGTTTTTTCCCCCTCTAATCTGCATTGAGGTAAAAAAGCAGACAGTTCATTCAATTCTTTGTTCGATTCATGTTGTATTTTCTGAGCTTTGTTATTTCATTTCACGAGATTGTTTAGTGCTGCCTTATTTTTTTAATCCGGATATTTTGAGGATAAATTAAGAATATTTTAAATTTCAGCCCTTTTTAATACAATGACAGATAAGAAACACACTCGTGATTTTACTTCTTGCAACGTTGAAAAACGTAAACACGTTGCATTGACGGTAAAGCAAAAAGTGCAAATTCTGAAAAAGATGGAAGCAGGTGCTAATCCTCGATTTATAGCAGAATGGTATGGAATTGCGACATGATTGTGTATGATATACGGAAAAATAAAGAAAAGCTGTTAAATTTTACAGCAACAGTGATTCTAACACCAGAATCCAAAAGCGGAAATCTTTGCATGAGGCAAAATTGGCAAACCTTGATGCTGTGTACATATAATACAATGAATAATATAATCAATTTATATATGTAATAATAATTTAATGCATATAATAAATTATTGCAATAATGTATATAATAATTTAATTAAATGTATCTAATACAGTCAAAAGTCGTTAATTCAGACACCCATAATCCCGACCTCAAAGCTAAAATCTTTCTGCGTATGTGCCGCATTGACACATGCGCATAGGCGTTTACGCGTGCGTGCAAGGCCTTTACGACTGCGCATATGCGTACATTTTCGCGTGCGTGTTTAATGTATAATGGACGGTAAAAGCTCAAATTATCCAATTATCTATTTCAGTTAATGTTGATGATTGCGTTTTCCCTTAATCTTTGAATTGGATCCGGCTTATTATTTTTTGCAGACTGTAAGAGCAATTTTATAAAAGTAAGCTTGAACTTTCGATTATGTCAAATAGAATTTCCAATGCTTGAGCTCCCAAAGAATCTACAAAACGAAAGTATGTTTCGATGTCCATCAAACAAAAAGTGGAATTGCTACAAAAAATGGATAAAGGCATACCCTTTGTTTATCTAACCATTCCGAAATCTGTTTATCAATTTCACGCTGCTCTGCGCGGAGTGCAATGAACTGGAAGTTCATCTGTCAGCACTATCGTTATCTTCAGGGCAGATGTTTTTATTTTATTCGGCTTATAATTCCTTACTAAATGTAGTATTTCATCTCGATGTACTCCGTCTTTGATATGATTTAAATCAAATTCCTCGTCATTATAAATATCACGAATACAAATCAAATAGTTTTCTGGTTGAAATTTTCTAATTTCGGCTATGTGTAATGTATGCTTTACGCATGTGCGCGTTGAAAGAAATGTTTAATAAAGTAAACAAATAAATATTAAGCTTTTTTTTTTTGTAAATTTTGATACCCTTTAGATCATAATTGCTCATTATTTTATAAATTAACGGTTTAATATTTTTAATTTTATAATTTCTGCATGCCATCTTACCAGATTTAAACTGATGATCTATAATCCGGAAAAATCGATAATCCGGAATCGCCGAAGTCCCGACGAGTCCGGATTAAAGACTTTTGACTGTAAGCCTTATTCATTTTGCACTTTTAGTCCGAATATTATGTTTTACCTTTTCTGTCCTGAAATCCGCACAACCTCTGGTCCCAAGCTTTGCGGATTTCTGGAATTCTACTGTATAACTGCCATTCCTACACTGTTTATTTGTATTTACATAAGTGATATAACAACAAAGAAGCATTTTGGTTTCTATAATATACGTAAGTTAAGTGATTAAAGTAACCTTAAAAGTTACGAATGCCAAAAAAGCAGTTGGGAAATTTTTTCACTACCTATAAATAAAATTAAATACTGTTTATATTACATATAATATTATACATACATTGCAGTATATAGAATATAAACAATTTATATTAATTTGTATATAAAATACATACTATACTTCTTAATATCATTTCATTAAAGGTTTAATTATTTTGGAAACTTTCAGTGCAAAATAACCATTTAAGTAGTAGGGGGAGGGAACCTCACTCTGATATCACAACATGCATTTCTAGTACGCTTAACTTAAAAAACAAATAAAATTTTATTGCATTTAAAGCACATGAACAATAAAACAGTAAAAAGTTCTGCATTTATAAAAATTGTAGATAAAAACCTTTATGCATTAGAAGTGCACAATCACAACTCAGTTAATACCTAAAATGAACAAAGACAAATAGAGATGCTAAAATTTCCCATTCTTATTTTCTAAGCAGAATACCTCTGAAAATTAAAACAGGCATAAAACTATTTTAGAAATTTTAAATGACAGTATGCTATGAGGTGGACACACAAAACCACAAAGTTTTAAAGGAGGAAAACTGCAGTTGTCATTAATATTGCTCCATTTTCAGGGTTTGTGCTTACATACATGAATATTTACTTAACAGTACGTATAGGAACTTTCATTAAAATATTTTTAAAAGGTATAGAAACACTACAATCAATATGCAGCAGAAGCAGAAACCATGTGAAACAAAGTTACAGATAAACCATGTGAAACAAGAACATATTTTGTACTTAATAATAAAAAATATATAATGTAAATCTGAAGCTCAAAAATGATTGAAATAAAATAATGTAGATACTGAAGTAGCTTTCATCTCAAAGGCTCACCTTTAACTGATCTTGATGTTTGTGTGATGATGATGAGTTTGAAAGATCAAACTTAGTTGCTGAGCAGACTAATGACATAGATAACGTGAAATCTAAGATTTCAGTTTCCAAAACAATATATCAATGAAAGATACTCTGGAAGTAATGCAGTTCTGTACTTCTGTCACAGCTACAGAAATTCAAAACGCTGCAAGCTGAAATTCTGGATTTCTTGTTCTTAGGAGAAATTTGATGATTTAAGTAGCTTTACAATTGAGTTTTAGAAGGTAAAGTAATAAATAATAGTTTGCACATGTGAAGAAAGAAACTAAAGCTTTTGCTATGAGCAGATATCAGACTGAAAATCAATCATGTACCTATCACATTGCAAAATC